CGCTGCCCGCGGAGCGGCGCGACAGCAGCCGGTTCCCGAACTCAGACAGCCGCTGCCGTGACGGGGAGGCTGCGCGGTGCCATCGCCCTCCCAGGCGGGCCCCCTTCCTACCGCGGCTCCCGCATTCCTAAATAAACCTTCCGGATCAGGCTGCAGCGCTACGGTAGCTCCACCGTGCTGAATAACGTGGCTGTACTTACGAATCTTGCGTTAGATCCGATGCCGCCCCGCGATGAAGGTCACAGCAGGGACTGGGAGGCGTGTTCAGGAGAGAGAACCCCGCTGCTCTGAAAGCTGAGGGCTCAGCTGGATCCAAACTAAGTTTGCAAATGTTTGTAGCGTAACTTGAAGGAATTCTGGCAGGTGATTTTAGCCATGGGCAGCCTGTATCCAAAATGCTGTGCGTTAGGGATAGCCTTGAAGGACGCTGGCTACGCTCTCATGTGTCGGGTGGTCGCCCATGATCTCCTTCAGCTTAGGCGGTTACCTCAGTGTCTTGTGGTTTTTTCAGGCTGAGGTGATGATGATGTGGCTGGGAACGGTCACTTTTTTGGGACATGAGCAGCTGCCCACAAACAATTTGAGTAAGGTCACCCCTTGTAGACCATAAAATGGCCATCAGGTGACACTGTGAAAGTGATGCTTGAGATAACAGTGATACTAGCACTCTCACCACTGATTTGAGACACTTTACAGTCCGCAGTTGGAGATTTTCCTTTTCCAAATATTTAATCTTTAATCTTAGAAAACACTGTTGCAATTAAAGATAAGCCCTGAATATATGTTGCTCATGTAAGTGTACCATGTCAACGCTTCCTTTTCCGCTGTCCTGTGCCCAAAGCTCAGAGGTAAAGCAGCGGGCGGCGTGGGATGAGAGGGAGCGCTGCCTGGCCGTCGGAGCGCGGGCACGGCGGGGCAGGGAGCCGGGCTTTCCCCGTGCCCACGGGCAGGCGCCCCGCGGAGCGCAGGCTGCAGAGGTGTCTGCAGGAGCCTTCCTGAGCTGGCATGGAGCACGGTCTGGCTGCAGCTGGTTTTCTTCACCCGGTTTGCCAGCGCTGCGAGCTCTCTAAGCTCACCCTCCCTGAGCACCGTGGAAGGGGCAGTGGGCAGCGTCTTGGGCAGCCAGAACAGACTGTTTGCACAGACGAACCGGGGAAGATAAAATTACATCTGTACTAACAAGTATCAACAGTTCTCCTTGAAATATGGATACAATTGTATGAATCGGTTTCCTTGCATAGCATTACGGCAAAAGAAACCTGACAACTGACCTGGACCATGTGGCCTCAAGACACAGAAAATAGTTTAAAATAGCTCTCCAGGGCAGGGTGTGTTCCAAACATTTGAAAACTTTCTATGAATCTGGTCAAGTTACAGCATTACTGTGGCAGGCTTCCAGGGCTTTCTCTCAAAGCAGTGCTTTTCTGTAACGTTTTTCCCGTTTACATGGGAAAAAAAACAGACTGTGACTGCATTCCTTGAGATACAATTCCTAAAGGTCACAGAGTTTACAGTTAAAAGATTTTCCAAGCAGACTTATTCTTCCTTAATATCAGTACTATACTTGTTTTGCATCTTAGGTAATTCCTTTTCCACTCCAGTGAGACCATTTCAAATCAGTGCTGTCAGTCACCCTGCTCTATGGCTGACAGTTCCTTTATTTCCTAAAACGTCAGTACCCAATTGCAGTACTCAACTACAATTTATTGAAGGTACTTTCTAAAAGGTAACTTAAGAAGTTTTAGTTATGGAAACACCACGTACAAGGCTCTGTACAATGATATTTCCAGAAGAAGTAAATGTCAAAAGCTGGAGAAGCAACGCCACATCTGAAGGGACTTCAGAAATGAACCGGACTTCGAGGAGATGGAGGACAGCCAGGGGGATTAGAGCCGAGTCCAACTTTGTATCTCCAAGGGGAACCTCATTGTGTGCTCTGGAAGGGCCATGTTTCGAAGATTGTGCCTGGTCTTACGAGCAGGAAACTGTTCTTCAAATTAAACACATGAGTTTCTTCCATGATATTAAGTTGCCACGAAGACAGCATTTAATGGGAGGCCTTTGTATTTTTTTCTCTGCTAGTTACTCCCCTGGTGACTAGGAGCTATTCTTAGTTTCTCCCAAGGCAAAAATCTCCCTTCTATTTTTAACAGTTTGTAAGCTCTTACTGAGCTTTTGTTTATCCTTCTAAAGGTGATATTTTCTGGAATGCTTTAAAACTGATCTGTGGCTCACCTGAATGTCCCAGCTTTTATTTTTGCTGATTCTAAACACACTAAAATAGCATTTTCACCTTTGCAGGCACTTGGCTTCCTGTGGTATTCTGATGACCAGAATTTCTCTGCTGCAAGCACCTGAGATGAACCATACCCTTTCAAGAAATTTCTTCAATGTGACTGCACCACTAGTAAACAAAAGAAAAGAATATTCTGAAAGAAGAATTATAGGGTTTGTATAGTAGCGTGGAAAGAGGTTTCCTATTTACTGTGACTAACTGGAAACACAAGAAGTTGAAAGATCAGGCATCTCTAAAGACTCATGCCCCTGTGGCTGGGCTCCCAGCTACAGACTTAAAATTTCAGAAATTGTGGATTTTTTTTTATTCTGAATTTGAGCAGCAAAAAAAAAAATCATAAAAAATAGGTAATGAAAAAACATGTGATCACAGGAAAACATGTTGAAATCTTGTTTGCCGTATGGCTAGTGAAAAAGTTCCCGCTAAGTTAATGGAACCGGGCCCTCCCTCCCTGTCTCTGATGCACAGTAGTATGAATTATTCATTAGATAGAGTATTTGTGACATGCTTAACAATCGTTAGCCCTTAGCACTGCTGCATGTCTTTGGGTGTTTTGCTTTTTCTATACAAAACCTTTTTAATGGTTTATTACTTTTTTATCTGTTAATTAGCAGAGCTGTATTTTTTATCTTCCAAAAATATCAGCAGTCTTTTCAGGTGCCTGCATATTCAGCCTCAAAATTGATGCTGCCTGTGGCATTTATGCCACTTTTCAACTTTATTTATTTTAGCTGAATTCAAAGTTAAACCATCTTCTAACTGTAATATCCATATTTCTCCTTCCAGGTATTCTATGCAGGAGATGTATGAAGTTGTTGCTCTTGTGGAGAATTACAAACTATTTGTTCCTTGGTGTAAGAAATCAGATATATTATCGAAGCGTTCTGGCTACTGCAAAGCGCAGTTAGAAATAGGGTTCCCTCCCGTCCTGGAGAGGTACACCTCGGTCGTTACCCTAGTGAGGCCGCACTTAGTCAAGGTAACTTATTTTTAAATTTTTCTTAGCTGTAACTTTCCTCAACTTTTGTTTATAGAAATTGCAGAATACTACATTTCTTTGCAGTATTTTGTAGAAATGTCGAATACTACAGGAAACTGTCACTTCACATCAAAAGTGATTCTGGAATTGCTTTATGCGCTCAAAATTGTACAGCTTTTATTTAAAGACTTTAGGCTAACTGGGGAGAGATCAATATGCTATTAAAACACGGGCTGCCAAATAGGTGGAATAATTTCCTTCTTAATTTGCTTCTTAATTTAATCTTACATTAATGGAAACAAGCAACTGTTAATGAAGATATTCTACTTTTAGTCACAAGATTTACTTCTCACTGTATTTTATCCAAGCCTCTCTAAATGCAAATTGACACTGGCTTAAAAAATTTCTTGGAAGGCTGTAACTTCAGATCCCTAAGCAAAATGGATTATCTCTCACATTACTTTTCCTTTGACATTTTTAACTGCTCTGTGTAAGTCTTAAGCTTAAGTGGAGTATCTGCTGAAGAACCTCTTAATCAGTAGATTTATGATAAGATAGAACAATAGATTTAAAGTCTTTTTTTTTTCAAAATTAATTGCTTCTGAAGAGAAGCAGTCGTACTTAATCTCCTTTCAGCTTCATCAGTGCAGTAATTAAAGGGGAGAAATTTGAAATGAGGTCTGGACTTCAATTGCTTGTTTGCTTAACAGGTTTCAAGCTCTTACTCAGGAATCCATTCAGAACTGCTCCTCTCAGCACTGCCTCTTCCCCCCCCCCACCACCTTTTTTCTTTTTTTTTTTTTTTTTTGGATGCATCAACTCAAATAACAGCAACTAAGTTCTGTTCAAATTCTATTCACAGTAACCACTTGGATATCCCATTTCACTGTTCTTTTCTAGGCTTTCTCTTAGCTCAGAACAGAAAATGCTGTTCTTAAGTACAGGGGAGACAGGAACTGGAAAGGGAATATGGAAGTGTTTTTACTCAAGGTACTTGTCCTTTCTGAAGGGAGGATTTCTCCCGTTCTTGCTGAAGCCAAGCAGGGGCAGTGGTTCCCCATCTGCTCCCCAGTGACCGAGGCAGGAGCGCTGCGGCCCGGGGACACGGAGGCAGTTCAGGCCTGTCCTTCGCCCTGCTCCTTCCCTTCCTCTTGCAGAAGCAGCTAGGCCCTGCATCGTCACCTCCTTTTGTTTAAATATATAGCCAGACAAAATTACTTATATGTGCCAAAAGAAAAATGAGTGAAAATATAGTGAGTGAAACCCCAGAGTGAAAAATTCTGAAGCCAATTACTGTGCACACTTTAACTTCTGAAGCTAAAACCGTACCTAAACCCTCTGAAGCATTAAATACAGCTTGGTATCTATGAAAGCCAAGATGTGAGCTGATGAGGAACTTCACTGGCTGGTCCTTCTTATGTCACGGTTGATCTCGATGAGATTTAGTATCTTGTAACAAAAGATGCCAGGTGTTTGACTTGAGTCAGGTTTGTTTTGATCCTAGACATAAAACACTCTATACAAATAATAATAAGGAAAACAAAAAATCTTATCACATGCTTTGTTTAAAACAGTGCTGTTCCAAGTTCTACCCATTATAATGTTAATTTACAGTTGTACGCATCAGTGTTGAGATCCATTTTATGGTTCTCAACACAATCCTCTCTCTCTCATTCTCCCTTAAGAGGGATTCAATTACTTCACCTTAAATGGCACTGTAAAGGGGATCTGAGGCTGGCTGCACTGTAAGAGTAATTTTTAATTATGCCACGACCCTCACTGTCTAACAAAATGTGAGTGCAAACTTTAGTAGTACTGGTTTGTCACTTCTGTAAGAGTTTAATCCTAGCTTGGACTTTTAAACTTTCTTTTAGGCATCCTGCACAGATGGAAAACTATTTAATCACTTGGAAACTGTGTGGCGTTTCAGCCCAGGTATCCCTGGTTATCCAAGGACATGCACATTGGATTTTTCAGTAAGTATTATCACTAAACCACCTCATACTATAGAAAAGGCATAGAAAGAGTACATTCAATCATAGTATTTTGTGTTTATTTTTCATGCATTTTTTTTAAACATACATTCTCTGAAACTAATTGAATTTTAGTCACGATTATCCAACATAATTTTTATATTCTCTGCCTCCTGAGAGAAGCTGCAGGAGGCTTCAGAGTGAGCATTCTGCCAGGAGACATCCACGGATAATGAAACTGTCTAAGGACTGCTGTCTCACTGCAGCTCTAAACACGCCAAAGATTTTAGACAAACAGATCTAGAAGGAAAAATACTAAACATACTTGTGGGCTCTGCTATTTCCTTTAACTACTTTGCAACCTAAGTGATCTCGCTGTCAGAAAGTAGGTAGTGGTTCATGTCTCCTAAACGCCTGCTTGGTCTGCAGGTTGGGTGTTTTTTCTTTATCTGTTTTGCTGTCTATTACTGCTAGTAAAGTTGCTTTCAGCTGAGGTTACTGCTTTGCTATTTTCTCTACTTAGTCTTTGAAAACATTGTTTTTTCTTACGTTTTGTAACTGAGAGGGAAGAGATAACTTCTCTCTGGAACTTTTGAGAATAAATGTCACATTTGGCACATGACTCAGCTGGGATTTAGAACAGCCTACAAAAGCACACAGAAAGAGGTTGATCTTGCTGCCATCTGCAGGGATACTCTGCTTTAAACCATAAATTAGAAAACAGCTTTTGGAGTGTTTTGTAAACGAGGGTATCGTCCTCCCTGGGTTAGCACTTTGCAACTTAATGATGTATGGCTTTTACTGTTCATCAGTAAAAGCAAACCCACAGGCACTTGAGAATACCTCTTTTCATGGGATTTGCCAACTGCCTTTGCATATTGTTTCCTCACAGTATGTCAACTTTTCTAAGCAAATGTGCTCAGTTCCAATTACTGCTACTGACTAGTATGTAACATAACTTTTAACCCAAACCATAAATTAGCTGAGCAAAATAGCATTAAGCAATTGTTTAAATCCTAAGTACTGAATTTGGTTGGAAAACACTTAATTTTTTGTTTTGTTTTGCTTTTTTTTGTTTGTTTTACCGAAGCCACCTTTTGACATTTCAGGTTGAGAACTTCAGTTAAAGGGAGTCAAAAATGGACTTTAAAAGGACATTTTCACCTTCTTGGGGAAACACTGTCAGTACTTCTTACTGCTCACCCCAATTTGAGGTAACAGAAGCGAATACAGCCAGCTGAGCAGGGCTCTGCATCACAAAGGCAGATACTTAGGGGTTTTAACCCTTGCTCAGTTACTGCCTTGCTCTGTTACGTAGCTTCCTGGCCTCGGCAGACAGGGATGATAAACATTTCACAACACACTTCTCGAAAACCTAGTAGACAGTTGCTACCACTCAAATAAGAGGAAAAAAATTTCATTTCAGGAACACTAGTTTCCTTTAGAAAATGCTGGTTCCCACAAGCTACTGTATTGCAGTTTTACCAGCCTGATACCAGGAGACACACACACACGTGTGTTGTGTATACACACAGTGAACTTTAATGAGTCATCCCGAGTTTAAGCCACACTGCAGCTCTTAAATTACTTGGTACATAAATTAAGAACAACATGTTATCATCTGCAAACTTTGTAAAGATATACTATACCTCGAGTTCTTGCACAGTTGCTAAATACGATGCACAATTGTGCTCTAAATGACAAGCCTCAGGCTTTCAAAAGGTCTACACTTGGCTTACAGTCCAAGTAGTTAAATCACTTCAGTCGTCAATATGCATTTCCTGCCCAAAAAATTCAAGAGAAAACCTATTTGCTTCATTTGGCATTTAATGTGCTGAGTTTTTGAGAGGGGTGAAATGCTTAAAACTCCATCCAAAAAACATTGCTGTAGCAGGTGTGTTAGAATTACAGAAGAGCAACCTGTATTTTCTTTCCTGGTAACTCTGTAATGATTTCTGGAAGCGCTGTACCCAGCTCAACACTGCAGCCCTGGGGCAACGTTCTTTAACTAGACCAAAGGCCAGCAGAGCACAAAGGAAAAGAAAAGGTTATTTGATATCGGTGACCTTGCTGCTGTCATGGCTCATCCTTTTGTTGGTGGAGACAGAAAGCAAACTCCCTTCTGCTCCCCACCATAACCCTGACAACAGTGGCTGCAGTTTAAGGGCAAGGTTCAGTAGCTAACAGAAAATGGGAAAGGAAATTTGGAGCACGGCAGGTGCAGGCGCAGGGGCTGTTTTCAGAGCGCTCCCCAGAATGGCCGTGCTCTGACACTGCCAGTCCCTGCGCTGGGGAGGGAGGAGCGGGCGACGCGCAGGGAGAGGTGGTGCCCACAGTCCTGCCGCAAATTTCTACCTTCAGTTCGGAAAAAGATGAGTGGGAGGAGAGGGCTGAAGTTCCTGAGAGTGGTAATGTGAATCATCTCTAATCCGCAATTGCTCTTGTTGGAGACAAACATTAGTTTACATCTGCCAGGTTGCTCTAGTTCTGATTTTACTGCGGGGCTGCTTTTAAATTAAAGAGCTTCACCTTACCTGAAAATCTTCATTTGTCCACCAGCTTATCCTCACCCGGTCGTCTTTGAACCATTTTTGTTTGCAGGTGAATTCTGTGAGCAAAACATCTAAGTTACTACCATTAGTACTCATGTCTTATCATGTATCATTCATTCACGAAATAAAATATAGTTGGTTTAGACCAATGGGCACGATTACTGCAGAGGGCAGAGGAAACTAGTTAAGTGAAAAAGCTAGAGAGATTCTCTGACCATTAAGGCTTTTTAATGCATATATGCTCATCTATAGCTCAATTTTAACTATCTGTTCTCTCACAGCTTGTTTACAGACTAAGTGGAGATTCTTTAATGTCTCTTTGTAACAACATTTTGCCCCCACATTAGACACATCAAAAAAAAATCTTTCTGATTGTCTTAAACAGGTTTCTTTTGAATTTCGTTCTCTGCTACACTCTCAACTTGCAACACTGTTTTTCGATGAAGTGGTAAAGCAGATGGTAGCTGCCTTTGAAAGAAGAGCATCCAAACTGCACGGCCCAGAAACAACCATACCTCGGGAACTAATGCTTCATGAAGTTCATCACACATAAAGGGAAATTGTAGCAGCTCCTATTAGAAATTTGTATGTATATTTTATTTATGCAAGAGGTACGATGCTCCTTTGGGGCATCACTTTGATATCTGAACTCTGTAATTTACCATTGTACAAAAGACGCACATGTTCAGCCAGATGTACATAGAGGAATATTCAAGCTACAATCAAGTGCAATTTAAGGTGTTAGCAGTAACAGACTGGCAGCTACTGTAACACAAGGTAACTGAAATGGCCATTTATTAACCTGTCAAATGGTTTGTGTAATCACATCAGGTATTCTACTTTACCTAGGCTTATATTTTTACAGTGTTTGTAATATATTAACTCAAATTTAAGTTATTGGTAGTTTGAATGTAACTTACCAGCACTAACTTAGCTGCTCAGGCCAAGTTAAAGGAAACGCTGACATTCTGGCTTTGGAGTGTAAAACACTGTGGAAGAACCAAGTAGCAGATGTTTTTGATCCAAGTAGATGGCAGAGGTCAGCTCAGAAGTCTGTCTGCTGTGGAATTCTTATCAGTTATTGCTATAGAAGAAGAAGAAAAAAAAAAAGCAGCCTTAAGCCTATATTGGAGATAGGGATGTCGTAATCTTTGAGAGCAGCAGCCCCAGCTCCATCCCGTTGTTCTTACCTGCCTGGGAAACCACTTGAATTCAGTTTGGCAAGATCAACTTGCCTCCTGGCACCACTTCACTATTTTGCACAGTAATTTGGATATGCTAGATGTGATCCAAGATCTCTGTGTCCAGTTCCAGTTCTGTACTGAATTAACAGATAATGTTAAGTTTGGTGAAAACTAGATCAGAGAAACCAAATTCTGGGAAGGAGGGAGCGGAGCGAGTTACTCTTGCTGCAGACTGCACTGTGTGTCTAGCCGTGGTTTGTCAGTGCAGTGCATGGGGCCAGCTCTCACTTTGATTGTATTTTCAGTAAACTTTTCTTTACATTACTTCAAGTATTGAGCTCCATGAACACATCTAACAAGTAACATCCTTTCCATCTCTGCCTTGAGTTTCACCAGGCTTCTTTACTGAGAAGAAGTGAGTTTTGAAGCCGGGGTTGTTTCAAGGTTGAAGCTCCTCCTTTCTGGAGCGGTTGCCACCCACACGGTCCCGCAGAACAGTGCGGAGGTCCCGGCAGCAGGACCCCCTGCCCTGGCTGCTTCCAGACGGAGCCAGCACAATTCCCAGCACACCAGGAACGAAGGGCAGCCCTCACGAGATGGGGGAAGCTGGGAAAGTGACAGGGGGATTGAGGGGTCAGTTTAGACAGGTTGAAGAGTTTGCCAGTGTGTACAGCAAGACAGTCAAAACAAGAAAAACCTCACAGTATGGATTTTTTTTTGAAGTGTTGGGAAACCAAGTTGAAAAGCAGGCAAAAGACTTAAAATCTACATTTTCAGCCCTGTGCCAGTCTCAGACAATAGCAGATCATGTACAGAAGCCTGTTTTGGGAGCACGCTCAGCAGTTCCTCATCCAAACCAAACACCATCATTAAACCTGGAGTCCAGAAGCCTCAACCAGGCACTTGCAGGGAGGTAGCCCCGCTCTACACCTCTGAGCCCTTATCAATATAGCAGGTGCAGGCGGAAGAAAAAAAATACACATTTCTTTAGACCAAAGAGAATTTACCTTTTTCACAGCCTCCAGGCCCTTCCCCTCCCACATCACTGGGAAGGATTCACCAGTGTTTCACTATTTGAAACAACCAGCCCATCAAGGGCAAAAGGAAGTCAATGCACAGGCCTTCTTTGATAGCACTGTTTAATATTTCAAAGAGCAGTGGTGTCAGCTCAGCTTAGGTATTTATTACCACAATTAAATTTTTTTTAGAAGCATTCTAGACCAAGGAAGGTTTCCTGGAAAGAAATGCCCTATATTTTTGAAGCACAAATATTGGAGTATTTTACCAGGTCTCTCGCAGAGCTATGGCTTTGTGTACAGATGAATAAGGTGATACATTTCATAACTTTTGAGCAGTTTGTTTTATTACATAAAGGTCACATAATTGTATATTTGTCTACTTTGTACACAATTGTCTAGTCTCCAGCACAGTGGCTTCCAAGTTCTTCCTAGTAATGGCAAGCACCAATAAATTCTGAAACAGAATATCAAGTGCCTTAATTAAGTTTAAATCAGAACCTTGGTAGATGGATCTTGCACCCGGTTATCAGGAATGTACAAATGTCTTTATTCAAAAATACAAAATAAATTATCTGTAGGCATGGACAATGACTGTAAACAATTACACGTGTTAAATGAAATCCAGTAACTGAGGGTTACAGTGATTCTTTTAAACACCAGCCTTTCTTCAGTCACTATCCATCCTCCTGCACTGACGTCTGAAGATATTAAGTCAGAACTGTCAGTCTTAACCAGCACAGTTCATGATGCATCAGAATCCCAGGAATTAGAACATGCCCCCTCCCATTCCTCCGCCCATTCCACCCATTCCTCCCATTGCTGGCTCCTTCTCCTCCTTAGGAATTTCAGTCACTACTGCTTCTGCTGTTGATAAGAGAGAAGCAACACCTGCAGCATCCATGAGAGCCGTTCTCACAACCTGAAAGCAGGAGGAAAAAAAAAGAAAAAAACACTTAATACTTGTTCCCTGTCACAGGAGGTGAGAAGGAAGAAAACCTACAGATTAACACTGCTTTAAGTTACCTTCGTTGGGTCTATGATTCCTTTTTCTACCATATTTACGAAGTCCCCAAGCATTGCATCGTAGCCAACCTCTGCCGGACTCTGCAGGATTTTTTCAACTATTAATGATCCTTCAACTCCTGCATTCTTTGCGATAGTCATTGCAGGAATTTTCAGTGTTCTCTTAATTATTTCTATGCCTACAAGAAAAAATATGTTTAGAATTATGGACTACATTCATTTTTTTCTAGTGCCAAGGCATGCATGCCAAGGCCATGGCTAGAGATCAATACAGAAAGAATAATCTAAGCAAAAACATAAACCATTTTTTTTAGTTTTGCATTTGTCAACAATTCAAGTTGTTAAAAAGGTATTTGAGTGTGTTTTGGTTTAGCAAGTGATAAAAAGGAGTATCATTATTGTAATAGGTGTTTTGGAATAAGGCACAAAGCCTTCTCCATTTGTTTTACTACACAATCCCTTAATGATTCCGATGTCTGCCTGCAAAGATTGTATTAGGAATTCATTTTTGCCATTGTAAGTTCGCAATTCCTACTTTATTTTTATTGGTTCTTTCAAGTCCAAGTTAATGCCAAAGGGAAAACTTCCACAGTAAGGTGGAGATCACCATATCAAAGGGAGCTACTCAATCCTAGCAAGATTTAAGGGTTCTGACTTAACCTTACAAAGCCTCAAGGCAGAAGAAAATCAATTCTTAACATTCTTCAATACAAGCATCCAAGTCATTCACTTACCGATTTTCTGATCTTCGTTGGCTGGAGTTAACGCATCTAAGGCTGGAATGCAGCGAAGCAAGGCACAGCCGCCCCCGGGCACGATGCCCTCCTCCACGGCAGCACGCGTAGCGTTCAGGGCATCCGTAACCCTGTCCTTCTTCTCGTTCACTTCAACGTCGCTTGTGCCACCCACCTACAACAAGGAGCCAAGTCTCAGAGCGCGCACAGGCCCGCCCGCAAGAGCAGTGCACACTAGCACGGCTGCAGCATGGCATTTCGGGGCTCAGCTTGCCTCTTTTAAGGGCCAAAAACCAAAGAGGTGCTTTTCCATATTGAAAACAATCTCCTGCATCTCCTTCTTTGAGAAGCCTACACATTAATCTGGTGTTTCATCGAGCTGTTCATACATTAAGTATAGCACCGTAATAAGGCAATCTCCTTATCCAAGTCAATTGGCAAGATTAATAGAAAGGCAAACAGTAGTAACTGAGATAAAGAATAAGGAACTGATATCACCCTTTCCGTAGCTTACTCTTGACAGCATTCCAGCTCCAAGCTGTTTTTAGACACTGGGCACATACTAAGCACATGGCAACACAGGTTTTTCTTCCCATCTACCCTCAAATCTAAAGAGCAGACAGACTACTTTGTTAATGACTAGAAAAGCCATAGGGAGACAAAGTGCAGCTTCAGTATGCAGGCACTGCTTGTTCTAAGACAAAGGCCATTGTCACCTACAAGCCACTTCCTGTAACAGGAAAGTCTGAACAACTAGTGAGAACATTAGTGAAAAAGGAATCTTGTTTATTGGTATTAACATTTTAGTCCCAAGGTTAATTCTCACCTTCAGTACTGCTACCCCATCAGAGAGTTTGGCCAATCGCTCATTCAGTTTCTCTTTTTCGTAGTCACTTGTAGTAGCTTCCAGCTGTTCAATAATTTCTTGAATGCGTTTTTCTATTTGAGCCTTTTCACCCTTGCCCTTTAGCAGCATGGTGTCATCTTTTGTCACAATGACCTCTCCGACTTTACCGAAGTCGTGAGGCTGAATGTCTTCTATGTTTAGGGTCAAATCCTCTTCTCCAAATACCTGCAGCAAAGGACACGACAAGTCAGGACTCGCAGCTTTTCCGTATGCATAATTGTTACCCAGGGCTACACGAGCGCAGGCTGACACAGAACACGCTGTCCCACGGCGCTCCCCTGAAGCAGCCCCTTCCCCAGGGCAATCCAGGCACGATGACTACAGGCCAGACTTACTCGCTCAGTGCGAGAAGCTCTGTAACTGGATCACTCTTCTATTTCACGTGACGTATGTTGGCAATAAACCGACTTTAGAGTTTAGTGTTTTTATTGCTTTGCTTTGTCGTTCCCGCTTAAATGGCAAGATTGATTTCAGTAACTAATTTTGGGTCCCAGTATAATGCTATTATTGTAAAGCGTGTATAAAAACAGTAGGACACTAAGGAAAACTAGCTAGACCAGCATAAACCAGAATTCAGTTACAAGTATAAAACATTTGCATTAAGCATAAAGGAAACTAGCCAGTATATTTTTTAAGAAAAAAATAGTGCAATTATCAGCCAAAAATTATCCTTAAAATAATGCAAGTAATCTTTGCCATTTCAGTCTAACGAATTTCTTAGGCATTCCCCCTCTTCCTTACTAACCTAAAACTCTATGTAT